CAAAGAACGCATTTGTTGCTCGGTGCGGGGTTCTGGTTAGGGACAAGATCCCGATCAGCATCCAGCAATGGTTTAAGCCAGCTACAGAAGACCCTGAGGTGTCTTATGTCAATGATATGCAGAAAAATGATCTTTGGACTGAGCTGAAGTCAAATTTCATCCTACCGCCAGAGGATAATCCAGAGAACCCAGTTAAAGAGCAATTAATCAAGTCTTTTGCTCTTAAGAGGATGGCAGAACTATTCAGGAGGTGGAAGAAAGAGCTGAATAAGTTTGTCAAAAATGATGAGACACCAGAATTCAAGGGCAGATATGAGAAGATCGGAGATCACTGGCCCGCATTTGTGGCCCACAAGACATCGGAAAAAAGTAAGAAGATGTCGGCGACAAACAAGCAAAATGCTGCGAAGAAGAAGCATCACCATCGCACGGGGTCAGGTGGCTACCTCGTAGCCCGGCCTAAGTGGGCCAAGACTGAGAATGATCTGGTTGATAAAGGGATCGAACCAGAGATAATTAACTGGCCAGACCGTTGCCGGACTTGGTTCTTCGGGGCTGGCGGAACCTTGGACCCTGTAACAGGGAAGTGCATTTGGATGAACGATCAAATGGACATACCAGTCAAGAAGCTTAAGCAGTATATCGAAGCGACGCAGCAAGGGACGTTCTTTCCAGACAGAGAGAACGACGAGCTCACAATGGCCCTCGGGAATCCTGAGCACCCTGGACGGACACGAGGCACGCCAGGCTCCATTCCGTGGAAGGTTGAGTTTCCGGACGCAGGCGGTTACAAATCCCATGAGAGGAGGAAAAAAGTGCAGCAGACCCAAATGCAGGCGCTGCAAGCAAAGGTAGACGCGATAGAGGAACGAGAAGCAAATCGCAGCAAACGTACTGTCGAAGCTTCCCCCGAAGCTACCCCGCCATCTCAGCGCAGAAGCAGCATGGCTTCCACCGAGCTGCTTCAGCCGGAGCATGCCTTGACGGCTCCTGCCAGCTATCCCGTGGATGCTATCACGGAGTCTCAAAATTGCCACCTTATGACGCAATGGATGAATTTGAAGGTCAAGGCGGCTGTTGGCTCTGTTTATCCTACTGAACCCGGCGCAACTTTTCACTGCCGGCCGATTCCAGAAGGATATGCTAGGGTGATGGTGGATGAAATAACGGAGGGATTTTAGGACCTCCAGCTTGACCACCCTAGCGGTGAAGGGGAGACTAGGCTGGGGTCTGCTCTGAAGACTCCATGCCTATGGTGGAAGGAGCTCATCAACCTTCCGAACTAGACGCCTCCGCCTCCTCCTCCTCCTCCTCCGGCAAGTCAGGGCACTCCGCCTCCTCCACCGCCTCCTCCTCCGGCGAGTGATGATCAGGGCACTCGACCGGCTCCTTCTCCAGCGCGTGGCGGCACTCCGCCTCCTTCTCCGCATGCGCCGACATGCCCGAGCAGCCAGCCTCCTCCTTCTCTGCCTCGTCAGCAAGGGCGGAAGAGATCTGCTGCCGCTCCGGCTGCTCCAGCGCGTCGTAGTCCTTCTCCTCCGCCTCGTAAGCAAGTAAAGAAGACAATCGCTCCGTCTGCTCGGTCGGCGTCTAGCAGTACAACCAGAGGCGGGAGGACATACAGATTCGGTCCTTCTCTGAAGACTCCAGAGAAGTTACCATACAAGAGGACCCCGGAGGAGAACGCCGAGATTGCACGAACCGAAGTGGATGACTGGTTTCAAGGGTTGAAAGCAAAGAGATATCCACTTCCGGAGGAGAAGGTAGATCCGGTGAAAGCGAAGCGCACTCTGGCTGCCCTGACAAAACCACCAAAGTCTTCGCCGAAAGGAAACTATGAGCGCATTATTGGAAAGGAATTTGCCGAAGCGGAGCGGTCGGGAAGTACTGTCAGTGATCAAAGGCTGAAAGAACGATGAGCTGGGAAACAAATTGCCCAGCTCGGCGAACAAGCGAAGCAATCGTGCCCCCCGCTCAAGGTGCCTAGCCACAACGTCACTAATGATCCGAGGATGGTGCCTGGTTATAGCAATCTTGCAGATTACCTGCCCGACGATGTACATTATGAACCCACGGACGTGCAGATATAAAGATACGAGTACGGGAAGCCTCTCGTCAAAGATGAAAGATCTCTATCAACGATGATGCGAAGATTGCATGATTGGTACTTGAAAATCTGCAGAGACTCTGGGGAAGGAGTACTTTGTATGTGAAAGTTAAAAAGGAGCATGACCTCGTTGGAATTGAACTGTTGCCTGTTCCATTTGAGGAGTTCTATCAGTTTTTCAATCAATTGGCCCTCGATAAAACAACGGTCGCCTGCTACTGTCTGTAAGTAGTACTATTTTTGTCATTAAGTCTCTCTATATAGCTCAGCTCTTTCATTGCATGTATTTATAATCATCCTCACTATATTATGCAGATTGAAGATCGCCGAATTGAAGAAAAGACAAGTCGGTGATATTGGGTTCATTAACACATATCTCATAGATGCAACTCAGGTTAAATTTCATGCCGCAGCTACCGAGGCCAACTTGCTATGATCGTTCGTAATAAATGAAAACAAAGATATAATACTCTTTCCTTACAACTTCAAGTGAGTGTTACTGTCTTGTGCGTATTCGGTTTCCCTTATATATTAGTCAAGGTTATAGTAATGTAATTGATGAGTTATGCATGCGTGTGCAGTTTCCACTATATTCTCCTAGAGATTAAGCTTGAGCAGGGACTAGTAACCGTCTTAGACTCAAGACGAAAAGATCCCCAGGACTATGCAGACATGACTCAAATACTCAAGAAGTAAGTTAAGTCGATCATTATCCACCATATCAGCAACTTTGTTCATTTACTGATATATCAAGCAATTGTTTTCTTTGTCCGGCAGGGTTTGGAGAAAATTCACCAAAAAAGCTCCGGGACTGCCGAAGGAGCTGCAATTTAGACACCCGAAAGTAAGTACTATAGTAGCATGTTCCGCGCATCTACTAGTCATTCAAGCGCTAGTTTCATCAATACCATTTGGCATTCTTGCTTATCAGTTTGATTGACCTCTATTTCTTGTAAAGTGGTTGTGGCAGGAACAAGGGAATGATTTCTGTGGATACTACGTTTGCGAGTCCATCCGCCACACGACCTATGAGCGGGGCTACACTGACGAACAATATGAAGTACGTAAATAACAGCATTCACAATTTTATTTTATTACCATCATTTGTGTTGAGTTTCATTCATTCATATATATATATATGTATTGACCCCCTTCTTTAAATTAGATGTTTCGGAAGCGGGATGAACTCCTAGCACCAGCTTGCATGCGAGCAATTCAAGAGGAATTGGCGGCATTCTTTCTTGACCACGTGATCCCTGAAGACGGAGAATTCTATGTGGACCCTGAGTCCGTATGATTATATTTGTAAGAGATAATTATTGTATATATGTAGCCGGTAGTGTCGGATAGATATACGAGAACTTGTTGTTCGACCAATCTCTCGGAGAAGGAGAGGTGGTCGATATCACTTCTCTCTGTATGCATATATGTTCATGACGATCTTCTGTTTCCTTCGTTTGATTACTAGCTAGCTAGCGTGTCTAGTCCTCTCTATACATATGTATAGTACGTAGCGTCGACCAAGCACGGACATAAGAGAGGACATTTCTCTCTATTAATTATAGCTAGCTAACACAATATATGAAACACCTAAATTAACCCCCCAAAACCCTCCAAACCCCCCCCTCCCTTTCAAAAAAAACAAAAATCCCAGCCACAGAAATGCTGACGCGTGGATGCCTATTGGTCCGGGTTGGTGCCACCAACCGGGATCAAAGGGTCTCCTGTCTGGGCTCCGCGCACAGGCCACGTGCAGGCCCATCTGTCTCGGTTCTGGATTGAACCGGGACTAAAGGGACATGGCATTAGTACCGACCCTTTAGTTCCGGTTCCAGAACCGGAACAAAAGGCCCTTACGAATCGAGACAACAGGCCCTTTTTCTACCAGTGGCAGCACAGAAGACTTATCCGCGGAGTTTTGATCGGCCACATTTCACTGTGCCGCCTCGATATCTCTCCATTGATCAGTTGCTATAAGGCCAGCAAATCGGATGTATCCACCTCAAAGGCTTTGCTTCCACAAAACGATTAGGAGTTACTACTGCTGGTTAGGCCTGTTAACATCCGAAAGTACTAGCTTGGAGACGTCCTTATCCACAAGGTAGGTACCTTGAGCAATCGACCGATGAACCGAGACGGCACTCGCCAAACGTATCTACAACTGCACCGCCATTACTCTCTACCTTACAGCTGATCCAGCACCACAAGTGTACTGTACGTGGAGCTGGCCGAACGATGCGTACAGCGTACGCACGCACGTACACTGATCCTCCTTCAAAAAGATGGCAAATATATAATTTCTGGTATGGCAATCTTGTTGGCGTCGTTCTTCTCCTCTGTAGATCTCGATCGCAAGAATATCGTACGTGAGAAAGATGTCTGAGCTGAAAAGGCCAGCCAAAAGTAACTACTCATGGTAGCTAGTAAGCATTGGCACTCCGGCAAGCTTTGCGACCACGAAAAACACGCGCCCTTTTTTCCTCTCAAGATCGAGAGAAGATATTACTTCCGCGAAAGCTGGCGTTGAAGACAGTGGTAGCCAGCTAGCTAGCTGGAGTGGAGTCGTTTCTAAGGCACATTTGATGTCTAGACGCCGTCGATCGAGCGGACACTCGATCGCGGAGGCGTTGGAAAAGGTGGTTCCTACCCCCAACCAACCCCAACGGAAACCACCGAGCTCACCAACTCCCAGCTGCCGCGGCGCGCGCACCGTCGTCCCTCACGTCGCCGTCGCTAACCGGTGTGCATGCCATGTATATAAGCCCCTGACCCCCGCAGGCCTCTGCCATCGGTCGATCCATTGGTCGAGAGAGAGAAACGCATTGACTGTTTGACGCTGCTAGTGCAATCTGCTCTCCGGTTAGGTTGGTTGAGGACTTCAGGTGCTGGTGAGATGGGTTCTGGTGGCAGGTGCCTGGCCTTGGCCGCGCTGCTGCTCGTGAGCTGCGCGTCGACGGCGACCGCGGCGAAGTACACCGTCGGCGACACCTCCGGCTGGACCACCGGCGCGGACTACACCACCTGGGCCAGCGACAAGAAGATCAAAGTCGGCGACACCCTCGGTTAGTATATAGTACATGCCGGCCACGTACTTTTCTAGTAACATTTTCGTCTAGTTTGCCACGCATTTACTGATGAACGAACTCGCACGGCAAAATTTACAGTGTTCAACTACGCCGGCGGGGCGCACAACGTGGCGGAGGTGAGCGCGGCGGACTACGCGTCCTGCTCCGCCGCCAACGCGCTCAGCAGCGACGGCAGCGGCGCCACCACCGTCGCGCTCAAGACCGCGGGGAAGCACTACTTCATCTGCGGCGTCACCGGCCACTGCAGCAACGGCATGAAGCTCGTGGTCAACGTCGCCGCCGCCGCCGCCGCCGCCTCGCCGCCCAAGGCGTCCCCGACCCCGGACACCCCCGACACCCCCTCCACCACCCCGACGTCCCCGTCCACCCCAGCCGCCACGCCCAAGACCCCGGCGACCGTGCTCGCGCCGCCGGCCAAGCAGTCGGAATCCGGCGCCACCGGGCTCAGAGCCACGGCGGTGGCTGGCCTGGGCGCCATTGCCGGGCTTGTGGCCGCGGGGCTCTTCTAGACGGGCGAGGCCAGGGTGGAGGCAGTGCAGTGCTGTACGTTAGGTTGCATGTCGTCGATCAGCTCATCGATCGTGTCAGTCGTTTCTCGTTTGTCGAGGAGGCCATGTTTCTTTTGACGGAGGGGACTAGCTTTTGTTGTGGTTGGCACGGTGGTTGGGTGCCTTGGATTCTATGTTATGATTTTTTTTTTACATCGCATTCATGTCATTGTCGCGTATTTTTGCCTACTTTGTACTGTGCCACGTGAGTGTCGGATCATTTATCTGTAGGCAGATTTGCACGTGTGATTTCTTTTCATATAATTCATTCATGTGGCGTATGAAACATGTCACGATCGGTTGTTGTTGAAGAGGTTTCTTTTGATGGCCCCAAGGTACCGATGAACAACCGGTTTCGTCATTCATCTTGGATGGTTGGCTACCAAGACGCCCCACATACGTTTCAAAAAGAAAAAAGACGCCCCACATAGTGCAAACTGCAAAACCCCTCGCGTTAGGCTCCTTCCAAATATTCAATGTAGTGAGCACTATCATCGACTAATAAAAATAAAAATCCAAAAAATTCCATACCAAACTTGATCTACACAAAAGACAAATCCAACTATAAAAAAATGAGACCAACCCAAGGGCTAACCCTCATTGGCATTTTTTTATAGAAGAAACTCCGCGAGCACCGCGCGTTCGAGCCAGACTCAAACTCAGGTGGGCTGGCAGCAACCTCAGCTGCCCAGCCAACGGTTCGACGCCACATCCTCGACAAATCCAACTATGAATGTCACTTTTTTTCTCCCTAAAAGAGACTGAAACCGCCCGGCTCTGCATCATTATGATGCACGGCCATTCTTATTGATTGCCGAAACTATTACAAGAATGAAATTAACACCTACCACTAAGACTTTCAGACACTGCCATATAGTCATATCTAAATTTGCCTTGTTGGTTCTCCATGTACATATCAAATTGGATTTGAAGCTTTATAGAATCATAAACACATATCAACATACAATTTATTTCAAGAAAGTTCAGATCTTTTAGGTGTGCTACAGTACATTCGTAGCAACACCCATACTGCTTGTAGCACTAGAACCTTGGGTGAGGGCTTTTGGAGGCCGAGCTCCACGGAGCTCGTTTTCAAAATACAAATTTCCACAAGGTGAAAAGATTTGAAATTGTTTGTATACACTTTCACACATGTGTATTGCATCTGTGCAAAAATTCAAAACCAAATACTTTCACACGTGGCGTACAGAAAAAAGACAAATATGTATTTCTAGAATGGGCCAATATTTTTTGTTGTTGGGCCGGATTTTTGTTTTTTTTACAGCCTACAAATCACAACAAATTCAAAAATATTTCTTACACGTTCATGCGGAAATCTATTAAGTTACCATGGAATTTTGTTTTGAATTTTTCTGAAACTTTAAAATATAAATTTTGATTTTTTCCGTCTCTCTCTGAAATGGAACTTTAATCGGTCAAAGACCTGCCAAAACGGCCTTAGGATTCTAGAAACTAAGATTCTACAGACTCCATTCTAGTCGTTGTCTGGCATCATAGATCCAAGTAGTAACATATTTAGTTCATCAATCAAGGGAGTGGCAAATATATCCACAATAGAAAGAACAAAATGAGGAAAAATAACGACCCAGTGGATTCTAACACTAATGATATATTATATATGGTTTGCTTGTTGCATAATTACAAGAGTCAGCGCTACCAAATTGTTAGAGATTTACAAGACAACGGGTAAAACCATATGAAGTATACATCTTCAAACTTTAGCACTCCATTTATGTAAGAACAAACAAACGAGATTGACATTGATTCAAAGAAATAGCCTGATTTCAACGAGCCAGTTTGCTGCAATTTGAGTGAGAAGATTCATAATGTGTAATCCTCATCAGAGTGGTAAGCAACCATCATTACATGTATTTTTGGCATATCTGACAAAACTGCAAAAGGGTGATTAAAACAGGTGCCATACCAAAACAAAAACATAAATAGTAGCAGTTCGTTGAATCTCACTTATCAAGGGAAAAGCTACACATCAACTGCTTTAGCTTACGTATCATGTTCCTCAAGAAGCAGCTATTCTTACTTTGTTCTTTTAGCTTGCCGTGGTACAAGCTAAAAAAAACTCAACCACTCACTGACAGATTTGGCGTTAACGCCTTGTGCCAGTATGCAGGACATGCTGGTACTCCCTCTGTGATCCAAAAAATCTTACATTAGTTTAAAGAGGAAGTAGTATCATTTAGTCTTCCTAACCTAGCAATTGTGATTGACTGCCAAGACACATAGCAGTTGATGATTCAAAACCAGAGTGGATCACCTAATCATATTGCTATGCAGAACTGCAGATGATATGCGTGTACGCTCATTGGTCTCCGTATTGATGCATCAGATATTAGTATAGGTAATCCCCAAGCTTGTCACGAATTTTCTGCTCCTCTTTGATATCTATTAAAATGTCAAGACAAACAAATACATTGGGAACACTGCTTATCACCCTACACACTCCACATAATCTAAAGTTACAACGATGCATTTCTTGATGTAAGTATTTCAAGTTAGCAACGAGCCAGATAACAGAAAAATACTGCTTAACTTCAAATTAAAATTGAATGGAAAAGTATATCCTAGTTTGCCCTAATGGCAGTACCCTAGATAATAGGCCAGAACAGCAAAACAAAAGAAAAAACACTAAGCAAACGCCCATTCAAGTTTTCATTGGTTAAACCTTAAATAATTTTGAATAAATAAGGTTCTAAATCATATTTTAGGATACATTCCTGATCAGGGTTCTCTTGGAAATTGGAGTTCAGAGCGTTTCCATCACCGTCTATGATTGCAGATATTGTCATGGAGGACTCAATGCATAATATGGCAGCAATAGCATCAAGCCGTGTAACCTCATTTCTGAACATTAATCTTGCGTGTGCTACGACATGGACAAATATAGAACTGTGAGAATGAGGCGAGATGTGAATCAAACAACATATCTGAAAGGGGAAAAGATCCACTAGAAATGACAGAACATGCCTTGTGCCAGCCTTATCAAACTCTCAAGCATACGCACAGTTGTCCTCGCTGCACAAAATCAAGTTTTCAGCAGCTGCAAAACTCTCTTAAGGAAAAATAAATGTTCTGCTAACCTGCATTATGTGTTCCATCTCTCCGCTGAAGCTGATAATAGCCTGAGATAACACTTTCTGCTTCCTTTGTCAGCACCGGTTTGAACCGCTGTTTTACATAGTGGATATACCTGTGATTTATAGAATACTCAAGCATCATTATACAGCATTGACAATGAAAAATAAAATCTCGGCAGTAAACAGCACAATCAAACAAGTCAAATACACTTGAAAATTTCAGCTGCTTATTATACATGACCTGACAAAATAGCACTTGCTAAGGCAACAAAAAAGTCTGAGCATTAAGTACAACATAATGAAACACATGTATTTGTCTTTCTGAGCACAAGTCTCTAAGCTCAACACTGTCATGTTGGCTATCTACCTTCTCAAACAGGGGAGTGTCCACTCTTTTATACCCAAAGGTTGGGTGCTTTTTACGGCAGGGTCACTGGCCTTGTTTTCTTCTGCTTTGGTGCTCTACATAATTTCAAAAAGATAGTGCTTAATAGAGCAGTGTATTCCAAAATGACAGACTGCTATATTATGTGCATCCTTATAGAGTTGATAGTGAGGCCCACATCTTGTATATGTTCCAATTATGCAATAGAGAGAAATTTGGCCATTTTCCATATTTCCAAACAGGGGTAAGCTTATCTAAGAAGCAACACAAGAGACCAAACTCAACAGAAAAGAAATAAAACCGTACCTGAGCTAATATATGAGATGAAATTATACCATCCAACTTAGGGTTCTTTTTATCCAAGAGAACAAGAACTATATCAAATCTACTCAGCAATGGTCCTGAAAGTGTTGTATTCACGGATAAGGCTGCAAATGGAAAGTGTTTCGAAAGGTTACGCAAATCCTTCAAAGGAACCTAAAGACATTACAATGATTAAAATATCATTAAGCTGATTGCACCATCAAATTATTAACCTTACTAATGTGCTAATATGCAGTGTTAAAGACAGTGATGGTATTGTAGTGGTAGTCTATTGTTCATGCCACTATTGAATCGAGTCTCAACTGTAACACAGATTAAATGACTAAATGTTGAGCTATTATAATATAGAACTGCAGAAGTAAATACGTGGTGCCTGAAATACTGTCAAGTGTTCTTTTACTATTAAGTAGCATGTCTATACTGATGTTAAGTGCAGTACATTCATTTGAATCATATTGTCCTTTTGGATTAGTGGCACCAAAGACAGTAGTCCTTGTACTGAGTGTTGTCACCAGTCCAGCCTGAAAAGGCAAAGAAGTGATAATACTTTATCAAATTGCATGCTAGTGAGCATGAATGGCCCATTAAATGCTTACTGTTTTGAGTGAAAGAGGCATGGTACCTTTGCAACGCTTATTGTTTGTTGTTCCATGGCTTCATGTATTGTTGTCCTGTCATGCTCTCGCATACTATTAATGAGAATGTCAGATGGAAACTATATCAGATAAAACATAGAGGCATAAACACAGTCTTGTATTTAGCATAAGGCTAAGAGCGTTAAATAATAACATATCATATCGTGCGATACTCCAATAAAAAGAACTATCAATTTAGCATGGAAAATACATCAAATAAAACAACTGAAATGCAAATGCATATTGTCTGGGAGATCACTGCGCTCCTGGATTAGGGCTGGTAGCAGTCACTCGACGGGAGTCCAGGGCTTGCAGCCACGGCACTCCAGAGCTATAGGGGTGTCTGCTTGGAAGTTGTTTCATAGGCCAAGCATCTTTATACAGAGGGGCATCAAAACCGAAAAAGAAATTAGTCTGATCCAAGGGATGCTTTCTCAAGATAACAAACTGATTAAAGGTAATAACAAACTTGGACACCAATCCTATCTCTACTCCAACCACAAG